TAATGCATGGATACCTTGAATCGAATAGAGAATAAAAAGAAAAGCATGCGGGATTATATAACACAAGTATTTTAACAAGAAGATGGCATATCATTAGGAGATTCAAATTTTTCTGAGTTAAGAATGCTCACAGTAATTTATAATATGTGCCTTCAAGACACATAGAAAAATATTATAGGAGATGCTAATATAGCAGTTCATAAACAATGAAGATTCTTTATATGACAGAAAAATAGTAGCAAAGCAACATCTCTTATGAACATACAAGCAATAATACTCAACAAAATACTAGCAAAACTGAATCCAGTAACATATACACCATGACTAAATGGAATTTGTACCAGTAATGCAAGGTTGGTTCAACATGAAAATCAATGTGCTACACCATACTGACAAAATTACAAAAGTATAAAAAAAACACATGATTGTTCCGATATATACAGAAAAAGCATTTAATAAAACTCAAAACTCTTTCAAAATGAAAACAATCAGCAAACTAGAAACAGAAAAGAAGTTATTCTTTTATGAAATAAAAGCATCTATGAAAACCCACAGGTAACATCAGACTAAAACAGTGAAAGATTGAAAGCTTTCTTTCTAAGATCAAGAACAAGACAAGGAATTGTACCCTTACTACTTTTATTCAACAGTGTACTGGAAGTTCTAACCACAATGATTAGGGAAAAAAAAAAAAAAGAGGGCAGAAAAGTGAGGAAATTGTACATACCTTTTCAGCTAGCATCCCATTGGCCAGAACTTAATTATGTAACCACATATAACTTCGAGAAAGTTAGAAAATGTAGTCTCTATTTTTTTTTTTAAGATTTTATTTATTTATTTGACAGAGAGACACACAGCGAGACAGAGAACACAAGCAGAGGGAGTGGGAGAGGGAGAAGCAGGCTTCCTGCTGAGCAGGGAACCTGATGTGGGGCTCAATCCCAGGACCCTGGAATCATGACCTGAGCCGAAGGCAGACACTTAACGACTGAGCCACCCAGGCGCCCCTATAGTTGCTATTCTTGAAAAACTTGTGTCTAGTGGGGCACCTGGGTGGCTCAGGCCATGATCTCAGGGTCATCAGATTAAGCCCAGATTGGGCCCTGTGCTGGGCTCTGGGCTCCTCCCCTCCCCCTCTCCCAGCTTTTTCTCTCTCTCAGATAAATAAATAAATAAAATCTTTTCAAAAAAGAGAAAAACTTGTGTCTAGTTAAAATTTGGGGCTTTTATTTATTTATTTATTTTAAAAAGATTTTTATTTATTTACTTGACAGAGACTCAGCAAGAGAGGGAACACAAGCAGGGGGAGTGGGAGAGGGAGAAGCAGGCTACCTGCTGAGCAGGGAGCCGGATGAGAGGCTCGTTGCCAGGACCCTGAGATCATGACCTGAGCTGAAGGCAGACGCTTAACGACTGAGCCATCCAGGCGCCCCTGGGGCTTTTATTTTTGAAGACAAGGATAATAGGTATTGGGAAACAACTAGCAATTTCTTCCGCATTTATTAAATACAAATCAAAAAAGCAATTCGCTATTTAAAATTTTTTTTCTCTCTTTCTCCGTTTCTTTCCTTCCTTCCTTTTTGTCTTTTTTTTCTTTTAACTCATGTATTACAAAGGTTAAAAAGATTGCTAATTTAAATGCAACATGGTCCTCTGGATTGGATCTTGGAACAGAAGAGGACATTAGTGAGAGAACTAGTAAAATCCAAATAAAGTTTCTGGTTTAATTAATAATATTGTACTAATGTTAATTTCTTAGTTTTGTAAATGTAACATGGTTATGCAAAATATTGACATTAGTGGAAGCAGGGTGAGGAGTATATACAAACAGTATTATTGGTGCATTCTTTCATAAATCTAAAACTACTTAGAAATTAAAAGTTAAAAAAAAATGATTTTTAATACTCAATGGCCAGGTGTTTGGAACGAATTCTCATGCACTCTTGGTCATAATATATATTAGTACAGCCTATTTTTAGAGAGCAATTAGGCAATGTTTATTAAATATAAATGTGTTTATATTTTTTTATTCAGAAAATCTATTTCTGTCAGTGGCCCATGGCAGCAAGACGGTGGTGCAGATTTCCAAGAAGAGGAAGTTTGTTGCCAATGGCATCTTTAAAACTGAACTGAACGAGTTTCTCACTCAGGACCTGACTGAAGATGGCTACTCTGGGATTGAGGTCTGAATTACACCGACCAGGACAAAAATCATTATCTTGGCCACCAGAACACAGAATGTTCTTGGTGAGAAGGGCCAGCAGATATGGGAATTGACCCTTGTGGTTCAGAAGAGGTTTGATTTCTCTGAGGACAGTGTAGAACTTTCAACTGAAAAGGTGGCCACAAGAGGTCTGTGTGCTATTACTAGGGCAGAGTGTCTCCAATGCAAACTCCTAGGAGGACTTGCTGGGCAGAGCGTTTGCTATAGCGTGCTGCGGTTCATCATGAAGGGTGGAGCCAAAGCCTGTGAGATCTTGGTGTCCGGGAAACTCCTAAATCCATGATGTTTATGCATGGCCTGATGAGTCACAGTGGGGACCCTATTAACTACTATGTTGATACTGCCGAGGCATCAAAGTGAAGATCATGCTTCCTGGGGACTCACGTGGCAAGATTGGCCCTAAGAAGCCCCTGCTTGGTCATGTGAGCATTGTGGAACCCAAAGATGAGATATTGCCTACCACCCCCGTCTTGGAACAGAAGGGTGGGAATCCAGGGTGGCCTGCCATGCTGCAGCCAGTACCCACAGGATAACAGGGTCTCCTTGGCAGCTGGATCTGGAGTCTGGATTTTGCCATGTAAAAGACCTTTAATAAAATCTTTGAAGAAAAAAAAAGACAATCTATTTCTAGGAATTTCTCTTATAGAAACTTGAATGCTAGCTTTTGGAGTGTCTTTTCCCTTTTAGATAATTCAGCATAATTCCTCCCAATGAATCTAGGAGAGTGGAATGTTTGGTTCTCTAACTTCAGAAGTAAAACAATCCTTAGTATGGTTCATGTTTGAAATAGAATGGAAATTAAGTTCCTGAAGTGGAGCTGGTCAATTAAGTTGCTAGGCTTTTAACTGGAGGAATAACAGGTCTGAAGGCCAGTGGGGAATATTAAGGATTCGATGCCACCTCTGGATCTTGAGAAAATGAGGTGTGGGAGGCTGAGTGGCCTCCAGTTGAGAGGGCTGCAGGGTCACTTTCCATTTTAGACAAGGAAGTGCATGAATGGTCATTGAAAAGGAAGAGGGTTTACTAAGAAGGTTGTAAAATTTTGGAATTTAAGTTTCTACAGCACTGTAGAACGGTTTGAGGGGGCACATAGCAGTGGTAGTGTGGTTCAGGGGACTAGAGATTCTTAGAGATTGGAGGAGTTTACATTTTTAGCAGGGATAAGGAACACAGAAAGATGAGGTTGCAATATAATTTGTACAACTACTGTTATGGTGGAATGTCCTGGGACATTAGAAGTAGTCCAGCTTTTGGGGAATTTAACTAGCCAATCCTTCTTAGCCCTGAGCATTTGCACATGACCTTTCCTTGGTCTGGAACACTTCTGTCTCCTTTTCTCCCTTTCTCAGGTCAGTTCAGACTATGTTTGGCTCTATCACTTTCTCTAGGAAGCCTTCCCTGAGTGCCTTCTCTCCTCTTAGCATGTGTACTCTTTCTCTGGTAGCCTGTCTCACAATATACAGCAATTGTCTTACCTGTTTGTATCCTTATCTGTACCCTAAGTTCTGGAAGGGAAGAGAACTATCTTGCAGGCCGTCCAGCCTCCATGTAATCATTCCAAAATTATACTATTTTGTAGTAAATATTTACTATTTTGTCAAATTTAATATTATAAAATTCAATTCCAGTTCACAAAATAATCTAAGACGTTTCTTTAAAGTGTAAGCTTCACTAAGGCATTATATGATTTGATTCCTACGCATTTATTTTCCCATGTTACAAACACTGCCACTCCATGTTTATGTGTGGAATAAACTAATGAACTGAATCAACTTCATCCAAATCTTTCTCAGTTCTTGATATATAAATTTTTGAATTTTAATACTAGTCAGATTCTAATATTTTAATATAATTTAAAAAGTATTTAACCTGTATGTAAATAAATGGGGTGTTTGAAACTGTTGAAGGACTGCCATACCCAGTTGTACATACTGACCTGAGTTTTTATGGTTTTAAAAATTCATCTTAAAAATTAAATTTCCTAAGTTAATGCAAGGCATTATTTCACATTCATGTGGACACACATCCTGAGGTAATACACGATATACTTGTGAAATGGAATATTTTCCCCTAGATGTATTCTCTTAGTAAAATTAAATACTGTGTTTCATTTATATGAAAATGACTACCCACAGTACACTCCTTGTACTAATAGTTAATTAATATAACTAAATTAATGCTTTTTTCCCTCTCTTACAGTTGTAATCTTTTTTTTTTTTAAGATTTTATTTATTTATTTGATAGAGAGCGACACAGCAAGAGCGGGAACACAAGCAGGGGGAGTGGGAGACAGAGAAGCAGGCTTCCCACCGAGCAAGGAGCCCGATGTGGGGCTCGATCCCAGGACCCTGGGATCATGACCTGAGCCGAAGGCAGACGCTTAACGACTGAGCCACCCAGGTGTCCCACAGTTGTAATTTTCAAAGCAGCAATCAAAGTCTAATGCGATTCTCACATTTCCCTCTTTCAAGAAATAAATACTCGCACGTTCCAAGGTATTTGAAGCCATGCAATTTGCAGAGGCAGCAGGTAGAACGTTGCTATCCGTATTATTTATGTCTTTGGTAGTAACTTAAGCTAGCAACGCCTCTCTCTGTAAAGTGTACTCCCAGTAACTCCTTAAGAAACAAACACCAGGAACAAACACTGGCCTCCCACGGATTTGGGCGGGGGGTGGAGCCTCAGCGATTTGTGGGAAGAACCGCTCAGGGCCTGGGAGGGCTCTCTGCTCCCGCTCGTCACTACTCGGCTCCGCTCGGCGCTCTCTCGGTTCTCGCTCGGCTCTGTTCGGCTCCTCCTGCAGGAGAGACAGAGAGCGCCTGCAACTCTGGCGCACGCGCTCAGGCCTCTTGCGGCTCTTAGGGGCCCGCTTTGCCGTGTGTTTTCACTTCCTTCTCTTCCGAGCTGTATCCGGGTCGTTGCTTTCTCTATTGTTTCAGGCAGACGACCTCGGACTTTGAAAATTCTGGGTCTTTTGTTGTTTCTGGTGCAGGCTAATAAAGTTTTTCTTTCTTTTATTTTTTTCTAACAGTTTTAACGGAGGAAATTAACTCCCCAGAGCTGCCGGGGCCTGAGGGAGCCTCTGGCACTGGAGCGCCGTGGGAAGGGGCGCGAGCGGCCGGGGCCGGTTCGGCGAGGACTAGGGGGCGGGGTGGGGGGCGGGAGGGGACCTCAGCGCTGCTTTCTAGGCGCCCGGGCCCGGTCGGAGGCGCCGCCGATTTTAAGTAGCATCTTTCGGATTTGTTCCCGCGGTATCAGTCCCAACTTCAGCGCTGCCAAGGCTCTCGCAGCCTCTCTCTAGGTCTCCTCCAAACGACCACCTCACGGATTCCTTAGTAAGTGTGTTGGAGGCCTCCGCCGGGAGAAAGGTGCATTTCAGCCCTTCTAGAAGTCAGGCCTGTGGGAGCAGGGTGGGGGTGGCAGGTTCTGCTGGAAGCTGGACCTTTCGTGGGCGCTTCCCTTCCACAGTCTGCGGGAATGAACAAGGCTTCTTTCATTACCTGGGCTTAGCGTTTTCTTTCTGTTGACTGTCTCCGTGTCGGAGGGATTATGAACGAGTCGCAGAAACATAAGAGGATGTTATGGGGGTCAGCTTCGATTTTGGTTGGCCTAGGTTCGCCTTTGCCACACCCCAGCCTGGAGCCGCCTCTGCTGCTGGCCAGCCCTCCCCAGCCCGTGTGCCCACCCAAGCAAGCTTCCTACACTTTTTGCAGAGAACTGAGTTAGACAGATTCCCTGCACGAGGTCATCTGTAGCTTCCCTTAGCATCGCAGCTGTCCTCTGTGCTTGGCGTGATTATTAATGACGATGTAATGTTTTTCTCTTAACAGTGGATCGCAGCTCCAAGAGGAGGCAGGTGAAGCCTTTGGCAGCTTCTCTGCTAGAAGCTCTCGATTATGATAGTTCAGATGACAGTGATTTTAAAGTTGGAGATGCCTCAGGTAAATGTTTCCTTTTCTTCCCTTTTCCCAGCTTTCTGGAGGTTGGGCTTATTTTCAGACCCTTTTTAAAAAATCGGCTTTGATTAAAATGCCAATTTAAAGTTAAAGCACATAAACTTCATTTATTTTGTCCGTTTGATTTCTCACATTTCCCGAAGATCCTTTCACTAGATCCTATCATTGCTTCTGTTTATATTGATACTCAGATAATTAGCAGGCAGAAAAGAACTTATACCATAGATACCAAAGTGTTCTCTCTGTTCTTTACTCAAAAATAATTTAAGCTTATTTTATGGATAGAGGAAAAAAACAAATATCCGGAAGTCAAATAATATCCTGAGAGTAATGTGAGCCATGAACAGCCCTTAAGCAGGGTTCTTCTCTGTTCAGATCACTTGGCACCCTCTGAGGGGAGTTTTGCTTTTTGTCTATTAGCTCCCTTACCAGAATAAAGGTGACCAGAGTAAAAAGTTGTACTTTGTGGTGGGTGTTGGACTTTGTGGATTGGGCTTTTCAAAACTCTCTGAAGTACAAAGATACATGTTTACTCATTATATTTTGTGATTTTAAAAACAAACTTTTAAAAAGGTCATACGTTCACATTGTACAAGATTGGAAAACAGAAAAATACGGACGGTTTTCCATGGTATCTTCTGTTTATTTTACTTCACAATATAGGTATATACATATAGTTTAATTGCAGGAATCTGAGAATGCACATTTTATGTGAAAAATACTAAAACACACATGTACAATAAAAATTACTTATAATTTTGCCCCTTCTGATGGAAGTTTAAATAAAGCCTTTTCAGTTTCATCCCTTTAATAATTTTAAAGTGTTCCCCCAGAGAGTTTTCTGTGCTTAGTCATAACTTTCCTTTCCCCCCCTTTTTTTTTTAACTTCTGCTAGGGATGGTAAGAGATGAAATAAGGTTGTGTTGCCTTTCTGTTATTTAAATAGCATCAACAAGTAGAATTTGCATGGTGATTTACTGAGAACTTTTTATTTCCATAATCTCATTTAACTTTTTTAATAGCTTAGTGAAGGAGATATTATTTTACAGATAACAGGGCACTTGAGTTCAAAGAACTTGCATGAGGTCACTTAGGCCATAATAGATGTAAATCCTTGTCTTTTGACTCCAAAATTTAACAGTCTTTTTGCTGCAGAAATCCTAAAAGTAAATAGATGTAACTTTAAACTGAAACTACTTGGATGTTGTGACTAATTGAGGTCATTCCCAACAATAAAAAGTTAAGTTTATCTTGATTAATTGTCTTTTAACCTTTGCTTCTCAGCCAGTTTCTCTCCCTTTTATTAGTCAACTTACTTCCAAAGGAGGAAAGCAAGGGAAGGGAAAGGAGCCAAAACTTTTTAAGTTCTCTTGGTGAAAATCTTGGTAGATAATATTTTTGGTTAGAATGTAGTTTTGGTCCAGATTGTTAACAGTTACAGTAGTTACTGGGTCTCAGAAGTTACGACTCATTTGAATACCACTATGAAAAAACTCCGAAGCTTAATCTTTAAGTATTCTGTAACTGTTTCTGTGACAATAAATCCTGACTTTGTAGATTTTTTTTCTTTTTGTTTACTGAGTTATAGTCATTCACAGGTATCACTTCTCTTTACAAAGGTTAAAACAATCTAATGATACAAACTGCTTTTTCAAGATAATTTTTGGTATCAAGCTAAGTGGAGATTCCTGACCTTGTTAATCTTAATCAGAGTTGATGGGAATTATCAATTATGTGTGAAAAGTGGGAGGATGAGTTTTGTTAGGCTGATAATTTTTTTAAAAAAATCTCTTCAAAGCACTAAAAAATACATACTTTCTATTCCCTCTTGTCATCATAGCTAGTCTGCTCTATTTGTAATTTACTTCCTTGGGCGCTGTGTAGTTCTTGTTATGTTACTGCAAGGGAGATTATAGTAGTAAATGATTTTGTTTAAAATAGTTAATAATAGAAATTGAATCCTATTTTCCATTCTTGGTTAAGGTGCATCGGGTGTCCTCCATAGCTAACATGGTGGCTTACTGTAGATTACCAGTGTTCCCTGTTTGAATCCTTTCTTTGCCTGAGGTAGTTGGACTCTTACATGAAATAAAACATTAGACTTATCACTGGTTTTCAGTCATGTTAGAGCTGTGGAATCCCAAACCTACATGTGACTAGATTAAACTGGAGGTGGAGAAATAGTAGCTAATCATCTGTCTGAGCAAAGCTTCTTTCAAAACAATGTCTAGAAATGACTTACTGAATGAACTGCTGACTCTCTTAGATTGGTTGGACTTAATTTTTGTTGACAAGATTCTGTGCATCAGTTTCTTCTCTTCATTTTGAAATCAGAAATTCCGACTACAAAACTTCTACTTCTCTTCGGCTTTAAGAATATAGACTTCTGAAAGATATTCAACACCTTTGCAGATAAACATAATTTTATTCATGTGTTTCTCAGATAATAAAATAGAAAAAGATAAATATTGCTCAAAAAATGACCTGCCAATAAGATTGTCAAGTGATTGATTTTTGATGGTTAATAACTAAAAGCCTCTGACTTTAGAAAAGTACAAACTGAAAATAGATCATCTTTTCTTTTATCTTTAATGTGAAATTAGAGTTAGATTTCTCATTTTTTTAAAGATTTTTATTTATTCATTTGACAGAACAAGCTGTGAGAGGGGCAGGGGGAGAGGGAGAAGCAGGCTCCCTGCTGAGCAGGGAGCCCAGTGTGGAGCTCGATCCCAAGACTCTGGGATCATGACCTGAGTGGAAGGCAGACTCTTAACCACCTGAGCCACCCAGGTGCCCCTAGATTTCTCTTTTTTTTTTTTTTTTTTTTAATTTGACAGAGAGACACAGCGAGAGAGGGAACACAAGCAGAGGGAGTGGGAGAGGGAGAAGCAGGCTTCCCGCTGAGCGTGGAACCTGATGTGGGGCTCAATCCCAGGACCCTGGGATCATGACCTGAGCCGAAGGCAGACGCTTAACGACTGAGCCACCCAGGCGCCCCTAGATTTCTCTCTTTTTTTTTTTTTTTTAATTTGACAGAGAGACACAGCGAGAGAGGGAACACAAGCAGAGGGAGTGGGAGAGGGAGAAGCAGGCTTCCCGCTGAGCGTGGAACCTGATGTGGGGCTCAATCCCAGGACCCTGGGATCATGACCTGAGCCGAAGGCAGACGCTTAACGACTGAGCCACCCAGGTGCCCCTAGATTTCTCATTTTTGACTGAGGACAGTGTACAACCATATTAGAATTATGGTGATAGTCACCAGAAGAACATTATGTGGAGATTTTAAATTGAACCATATGAAATTACCAATTTAGATTATTGGCAGTTTCATCATTCGACCTAGTTTAAGTGGTTATATTTGAGACTTGGTCCTGGAATTGGGGTTAGGATAGATTGCATTTAGTTATCTGATATATAAGTGGAATGGTTTTGAAGATGAGTGCATATATGACTTTTATTAAATAAGACAAAATAGCAGTGCTGTGTCCCCTCTAACCTGCTGGCCAAAGTAAGATGATTAACTTTAGATCTTGATCCATAGTTGTTTAATTAGGCCAGATCGCCAGAAAATTAGCTGGAAAAGTCATGCTGAGACTTTGCTTTGGTAGTATTTTGTACTTAATCTAATTTTGGCTAAGTGGATCAAGATAATGGTCATTGATGATATGTAGTTTTGTTTAAGAGCACTTTGCTGGATATTATGGTGAATTCACAAATATCAGAATAACTAAATAAGTAAAATAACAGATAATACAAAGCATGATTGATTATTTGTATAGTTCAAGTCAAGGAGATAGGACTACTTTAGACTGGATTTATCTAGAACAATTCATTGAGGAGGTAACAGTTGAACTTCGGAACTGAAAGAGAAGCAATCTAGGTGAGGGAAACAATATATTAAGTGTCAGAAGTGTGGAGGCTGGAAAATACTTATACTTTGGAATTAGGATTGAGTAAAAGAATAGAAGAGATGCATCTGGGCAAGTATAATGAGGTCAAATTAAGGCCTTAATTGCTAGACCAGGGTTTCTCAATCTCGGCACTATTGGCATTTGGTGTTGTATAATTCTTTGTAATGATGGCCTGTCCTGTTTACTGTAGAATGTTTAGCAGCATCTGTTTTCTGCTTACTAACTGCCAGTATCATCTTCATTTCCTGCCCCTACCCCCACCTTCATGGCAATCATTCATTGTCTAAACATTGCCAGTGTTCTCTTTAGGACAGAATTCAAAATTGTTCTTACTTGAGAACCACTGGTCTGGATTTATTCAGAAAATGTTAAATGACACAGTGGAACTAGAGATGATGAGTAGAGGATGAGTTGTGTTGACTGATTGGCTTTTTAAAAAAGAGAAAATACAGGATTAGTCAAAATGGCCCCAAGGTGATAACTGAATAACCAGTAGACTGGTAATCTATTAGGTATTGTGTATATTTATAAATAGTAATTACTATTGCACTAGATCAATGAATGGAATTGTTAATTAAGGTTGATAGACAAAGGTGATTCTTTATATTGCAAAGCTAAAATAAAACTGAATTAAATACTATTTTATTGTTTAATATTTATCATGGGGAAAACTTAAGCATTGAATATTGTGAAGGAATTCTTGAAGATTGTTTTTTTAATTCTGTATCTGTAAAAAATTCCCTAACTTCTGTTAGTTGAAATAGCTATTGCTTGGAGAGATTTTGATATATTATATATTTGAGAAAGATACCTTTTATTTAACTGAATAGGAAGGAGGGATTTCAATTTTAATTTTTTTCTAAAGAAAAAATTTTATTGTAGAGTTAGAATTACCTTTTTTAAAAAAGATTTTATTAGAGATCGAGAGCATGCGAGCAGGAGCAGGGGGAAGGTGCAGAGGGGAGAGGGAGAAGCAGACTCCTCACTGAGCAGGGAGCCTGATGCGGGGCTGGATCCGAGGACCCCGACCAAGATCATGACCTGAGCCGAAGGTAGATGCTTAACCAACTGAGCCACCCAGTCGCCCCAGAATTACTTCTCTTCTAATGCTAAGAAGCATCTGACTTATTTGAAGTATCTGACTTATTTCTCTAGTCTTATTACCTTTAAAAAAAAAAAAGATGTAAAAGTGATGGATTTGGAACGACACAAGAGTCCGTTTGAATTTGTAATAATAAAGACATTTTTCTTTGTAGCCTACAAAAATAGAACTAGAGACAGCCAAAGACTGATTTTTTCATTGTCATTTTTGTCAAGCTATGCTTGTAACTAAATATTGTTTATCTCCATCCCTCAAGTGCATATGTATCAAAAAGAAGTGATGACTAATCAGATGAAGTTATTTTTCAGAAATCAAAGATAAAATTTGATATATTCCTGATGCCTGCAGTTGGAGTATGGATAATGTATTATATTTGGAGAATGAAGGGTTGGGTAAGCTACTAGGATTTGGATTTGTGGAAAAATTTCAGATTCATCTAATAATATGTTAACAGATGTAAAGCATTTAAATTTTGTTTTCTTTTCAGATTGCTTCTATTCAGATATGATTACAAAACAAAAACAATCAAAGAGTATCAGTTTCTCCATACTTTTTTTTTTTTAAGATTTATTTATTTTTTTGAGGGGGGGAGAGAGAGAGAGAGAGCATGCTCACATGTGAGTCAGGGGAAGGGGGAGTCAGGATGAGGGAGTGAGTGAGGGAGTGAGAGACTCACAGGGTGAGTCAGAGGCAGAGGGAGAGGGAGAGAGAATCTCAAGCAGATTCCCCACTGAGTGCAGAGCCCCACGTGGGGCTTGATCCCCTGACCCATGAGATCATAACCTGAGCCTAAATCACCAGTCAGTTGCTTAACTGGCTGAGCCACCTAGGTGCCCCCCACCCCCATACTTTTAAAAATGATTGGCATTGGCAACAAAAACCAAGACAAAATCATAACAATTCTTAACATTTTGCAAAATTTACCAAGTAATAGTGAAGTTGGATTGGTCTCAGTTTTGATTAGGTACCCACATTTGTGCCCCAGTTATTCTAACTTTTATATCTACTGTTATTTTCATTGGTAAAAATTATTAGAAATAATTATTAGAAAAAATTATTAGAAATAATTTTTAGGTACTTTTATTTTTTTTAAGATTTCATTAATTGAGAGAGAGAGGGAGCACGAGCAGGGTGAGAGGCAGAGGGAGAAACAGACACCCTGCTGAGCAGGGAGCCCGATGTGGGGCTCGATCCCAGGACCCTGGGATCATGACCTGAGCCGAAGGCAGACGCTTAACCAACTGAGCCACCCAGGCACCCCTTTTTAGGTACTTTAAAAATTATCTCTCTTAATTATGCCATTGCTTGCAAGATGTTCCAGTCTTCTGTAGTCAGTATGCATAGAGACTCTTTTTGCCTTAGAAGTGTTTGGTCAACTCTGCTTATTATTTATTAGATTCTTATCTAAAAAATATCTAGAAATTGTTGATTATTATTTTTTTTTTTTTACCAGAAGTAGTTTTTCTTGGTAGGTTGGGTTTAATTATGAGTGGTCTTAAAAAAATCATAATTTTCTTAATGATTTATATAACTGTTGGACTGAAAAAAAGTTACCTAGTTGTGGGTGATACTGGATTCACACTCTGAAATTCAAGAAGCTTACAAATCCAAAGATGTTTCCTAAGTTTGGGACAAACTTGTTTTTGGTAAAACCTAACTGGAAATGATAGTTTATTTGTAGTGTTTCCTTAAATATTTGTAAATATTTATACTTTTCACTGCAGAAATGTGTCTGATTATAGGATAGTGCCATAGATCTCACTGGAGATTTTTAAGTGTAATATATTGTGTATATACCATGCTTCCCTTCTAAAATCTGAAAACAAAATCAAAATTCTGAAAGATATCTGGTTCCATAAGTTTCAAATAAGGTATTGTTGACCTACATGATATTGTTCTCTCGTGTCCTGTCTAAGATTGTTTAGGATGAGAGTGTTTTTTCACAACAGTTTTGAATAAGCTGTGGGTTTCTGCGTGGTAATCTTGAGATTGACAATTATTTTGTAGGGCCAGTCAATATCTATTGTATGTTAGTCTGTATTTTTAATCGATTTAACTTGCAGGATTTTTTTTTTTTTTTGTCTTTTAGCCATTTGTAAAGGATTTTTAGGATATTTTAGATACCATATACTAATTGCAACTTTCTTTACTTTTTTTTTTAACTTTCTTTACTTTTAATGTCCATTTAATTATAGTAGCTAAGGCTGGTTGAGTTAATAGAAATTAAAATGGTGTGGAAACAATAGACTTTTTTCACCATTTTATTATTATCCTTTTCTTAGTTATAGGCTCAAAGAATGTATCACCCTACAGGTTTTACTATAGTTGTTGACCATGACCTGACTGTGACTAGTTTCTTACTTCTTTAAGCTCCCCTTCCTTTTTTTTCTCCTTCTTGTTATTTCAGATTTTAGATTTTTATTTATTTGATTAGGTGTAAAGAGGATCAGAAGGTTACTGAGTAGTGTTGGGCCAAGATGGCCTGCGCTGCCCTAGGCAGGAATGGAAGAAACTTGCTAGAAAGCTTGTAGTTCTGCATGAACTTTTTAATAGTCTAAGCCTATCTTTTTAGCGACTACCATGGTTGCTCATTTCCAAGATGGATTCATTTTTAAAAAATTATTAATTTCTTTCATTCTGGGGGGCTGTCGTAGTTACTGCCTAGAATTTTTGAAAGTTTAGGTGGCTCTAATTGGTATGAACAGTATCCTGATAGCAGGAAAATTGATAACTGCTCTTGCAACTTCCATTTACTGTGCCCGTGCTGCTGTCTCCTTTCACCTGTGAACTTGATACTCCTAAAATTGATTAGTATGTAAGGGATGTTGACTATCATAAATAACCTGTGTTCATTTTTGCTGAGTAAAGAGTAAAATAAATGAGACCAAGTTTTTTGGGCCAGGTTTTTCTTGTTCTGAATGTGACTCAACGCTTGTAAGTTCATACAGTTTATGAAACGAAGATGGAAGAGAAGAAGAATTTGGTCTGTATTATATCATTAAGTTAAAATCAAGTGCCCAATTTAAAAAGAAGCACCTTTACTTTTAGAAAAAAAGATTGTTTCTAGGGTACCAAATATAGCATGAGCCATTTGACACAAAATAGTGCTCCTCTTTTTAAAGCATATTTTAATTTAGAGTTACATTTAGTCATCTTCATTAGTGCTATATTGAATTAGAACCATTATACCAACTTCATTGATTTATTATTTAATCAGGTTGGGAATGTCTACCATTCTTTGACTTAAATTTGTTTATATTGTTTTGCAAGTTACTCACAAATTTTGGTGGTTTCATTTGTGTCAGCGTTGTGTGTGTGTGTGTGTATGTATATACATATGTGTGGTTTTTTTTCTCATATTTTCAACAGATTCTGAAGGGAGTGGTAATGGAAGTGAAGATCCTTCAAAGGACAGTGGAGAAGGTTCCTGTAGTGATTCTGAAGAAAATATTTTAGAAGAAGAACTGAATGAAGATATTAAAGTAAAAGAAGAACAACTTAAAAATTCTGCAGAGGAAGAAATACTGTCATCAGAAAAACAGTTAATTAAAATGGAAAAGAAGGAGGAAGAAGAGAATGGAGAAAGACCTAGAAAGAAAAAGGAGAAAGAGAAAGAAAAGGAAAAAGAGAAGGAGAAAGAAAAGGAGAAAGAGAAGGAGAGAGAGGATAAAGAAAAAGCAACAGTATCTGATGCTGTGGCTGCTTCTGCTGCTTCCACCACACCAGCCACAAGTCCTCCTGCTGTTAACGCATCTCCTTCAGTCCCCACTACGACAACCACTACAGAGGAACAAGTCAGTGAGCCAAAAAAGTGGAACCTTCGTCGAAATCGACCACTTTTGGATTTTGTATCCATGGAAGAGCTGAATGATATGGATGACTATGACAGTGAAGATGACAATGATTGGCGACCTACTGTAGTAAAGAGAAAGGGGAGATCTGCATCTCAGAAAGAAGGAAGTGATGGAGACAATGAGGATGATGAAGATGAGGGAAGTGGGAGTGATGAGGATGAGAATGATGAAGGCAATGATGAAGATCATAGCAGCCCTGCCAGTGAAGGGGGTTGCAAGAAGAAGAAGAGTAAAGTTCTTAGCAGAAACAGTGCTGATGATGAGGAACTGACCAATGATAGCCTGACACTATCTCAAAGCAAGAGTAATGAGGTAGATCAACCCAATTTTTATGATATCTGTCTGTCTGGGGAAAAGGGAATTCTTCTCTAAACCATTCTACTCATTATATTAAGTAGCTTCCTTGAAATCCTATTTATAGACAGCTGTGGGAGTGAATGAGCGCCCTAACTGTAACATTTATTCATTTGGTCCAACCAGCCTTTATTGAGTATCTACTATTTGTCACCGTCCTCAAGGAGCTCATAATCACCGTCCTCAAGGAGCTCACAGTCTTTCTAGTTAGAGAAATATTTTTATATCCATAGACTAGGAATATGGTAGTTTTCCTTTCCTTTCCCCTTTCTATCCTCTCACCCCATTCTTCATAGGACTGCTGAATGGTCCTGAGTGGAGTATGAAAACAGAGGTCACCTTTGTTTCAACTTAGCTATGTCCACATGAAAATTTAGACTTCTAGACTACTTTAGAGCAGGACAACAAACAGCTTAATGATTGCCTCAGACTTTTAGAGATTGATTTTAAGGTTAATTCCTTTACCAGTTGTAGCACTCATCATCTGAATAGTCACCAAGTCTTTGCTTTAAATGTATGGGAGTAAATAAGAACTATATGTTTACATATATTTAGTGAATAAGTTCTCTCTACAAAGAAATGAAAAAGAAAAATCAACCCCCCCAACATAAGACAAACATTTCTTTCCTAAAACTACAGTAATGACTCAGTTCTTCCACTTGAAGTTCTACTACCGAAAGTTAGGTTTATCCTTTGGGCCCAAGATGCAACATTCAAGATTCTTCAGTCAAACACATTTGTGTCTCTTTGTCTGTGTGTTTATGTATATGTTTTTCTTCAAAAGCAAGATTGAGTTGTCGTCTTACATGTAGATGTACCTGTTACATCAACATGTAGAACTATAATAATTAAGTCTGTCATTTCTGTTAATGCATTTGTCGTCACAGAAATTCAGTTCTTTAGCAAGCACTTATTTTTTGTTTTTTCATATCATTGAAAAAGGTTGAACTGGTAGAAGGATTTTCCTTCTATGCTGTATTCTTTTACATTTCTTCTACTTACAAGTTTTACATAGCAGTGATTACCTATTTTAAGTAAGTTTCATTTAAAAACTTGGGTGATTTTTTTCTTGCCAAAATAATAAGTAACAGGCTCTGAGGAGCTTATATGTCAGTAGTGATGAAACAGGTTATAATAAATATATATATTATAAACATTGGTTAACTTCTAGGTTATCCACTTTCATATGAAGAATGTTGCCTGCCTCCAGTGCTATCTATCTAAATTCTTATCTTTAGGTAATGGGAAATTGTCATTTGGAATATAATACAATATTTATATGCTGTAGCACAAACAGTTCCATATTCCCGGTGCCAATTTAGGGAAATAGAAATACGGAAAAATCAGTTGTTCATATGTGATGTAGGCTTGTATCCAGTTTATTTTATAGCATTTAGTAGTCGATATCTACTGAATAAGATTACCTTTGGCAGCATTACTTTCTTCATTTTTATTAGCCTGACATTCACAAAAGTAGGCTGGCTAATGATAAAGGCAGAGTTAGATTTTATGTGATGGTGTGGGGAATACCTGCAGATGTTTAGGAATTTGCCAGGTAAAATGTATACATATTATCCATTTGTTAATAATCTGTAATACATAAAATATTGCTTAGGAGGTTGTAGACTGTCCTTTATGATGCATTGGAAGGCCACATGTGCTGTTTAGGTTTTTTTCTACCAGGAGAGACTTTAGTAAATAATGGGACTTCATATATTTAGGTTAAGTCCCAAAGGAATGTGATTCCAGAGCATTTCTTGGAAATGTGCCTCCATAAAGTTGTCAAGAACTTTCTTCTTACAGTAGCTAAGTTAATTTCTCTTGTTAATTTATGTTAATTTTCCTTTTGTTCTACCCTATGCAGAAATGCAGAAGAACTGATAGAAAGTTAATTTTAACTCAATAATATTCTACCCGAAATCTTGGTAACTGTTTTCCCCAACACCAGTAATTTTTGATGATTCTACTTCTATTTGTCACTCAAATTAGATGACAAATTTTAATAAACAATAATCGGGATTATTATTTTATCTTACATTTCTAAATTTCCTGTTCATATGCTCTTGATTTTGTAAAAAAGATGACTAACGGTAATTCTTGTTGCTTTATGGCCATTGTTTGTATCTTAATCTTCCTGGTCATTTTAGGTAGATACTTTGGCATTAAGGTATCAATTATCTTTTAGTTAATACAGATATATTTGATTATATTTGAAGTTTTATTTTTCTCTTTTACTTTAGGTTTTCAAGTACTGCTTTGTAGTAGAGATAGCTGAAAGTGTGGTTTTAGAAATACGTAATTGAATTATATTTAGTTTATAAACAGCAAACTTTCTTGGCTGTTACGTCAAGTGCTTTTATAGGGAAATGATGTTGGACATCATGTAAGTGATGTCAGAAGCTTTAATAATTTTGAAGTTTTTTAGGGAATTTGATTTTTTTCTTTTGAGCGGGGGGCCTTTTATTGACTCTTAAGGGACTCGATCCCAGGACCCTGGGATTATGACCTGAGCCGAAGGCAGATGCTTAACCATCTGAGCCACCCAGGTACCCTGTAGGTTATAGCTTTTGTTATTTACCATTTCAAATTAAAACTGAAGAATTTCAAAAATTAAGACATACAGAAGCATACAGGTTGTCAGATTGATGACCCTATCCCCTGTTGTATAGTTCTGGAAGACTACATCATAAATGCATGAGAGAGAGTGAAAAAGGCAAACAACCTCAGTATTAGTATGAAAATAGCCTTTAGCTTGTGGACCCTATGAAGCAGAGTCCCATAGACCACACATTGAGAACTACTGTTCTACAATTGGACATTTGATAAACCTACATTTTCTACATATGGACACTTTCTTTGGCCTATAGAATTAATAACATTTTTTGAATTTAGTGCAGTCTGAACAATCCCCTTGGAGTATCATTATATGCCACTTTCAAACTTTTATCTTGATGCTTTTGAGATTAACTGATGTTATATTGCTTTTTGGTTTTCTGAAGTAAATCTTTTGGGGATGGGTGTGTAGCATTTTCAGAGAATGGTTCACATTTTCTGAAGTAAATCTTTTGGGGATGGGTGTGTAGCATTTTCAGAGAATGGTTCACATTTTCAGGACTTTGGAACTAGAGCTTTCATTGAGGATTAATATTTGATAGAAGATAATTTAGTAGAAATTTTCAAGTGGAAGTTTTTTGGTTTCTTTTCATAAAAGGCTCTCTTATGTTAAATGGATTATTAGATGTTAAATGGATGTGAAGAAATGGCAATTGTCATCTGATTTTTGGTAATTAAAATTTTTGCTAAAATTTATAAATAGCCACTTCTATTTGGGGTTTCTGACTTAACTATCAATTGCTTTTTATACATTTCAAAATAAAACAACTGCTTTTTTTTTTTAAGATTTTATTTACTTGAGAGAGAATAAGCAGTGGGGAGGGGCAGAGGTAGAGAGAGAGAGAGAGAGAGAGAGAGAGAATCAAATTCTCTGATGGTGGGGCTACATCCCAGGACCCCAGGATCATGACCTGAGCCAAAGGCAGATGCTTAACCGACTGACCACCAAGGCACCCCAGAACTGCTTTTTTTTTTTTTAAAGATTTTATTTACTGGAGAGAGAGTGAGAGAGCACAAGCAGGGGGGAAGGGTAGAGGGAGAAGCAGACTCCCCGCCAAGCAGGGAGCCCAATGTAGGACTTGATCCCAGGACCCTGGGATCATTGACCTGAGCCAAAGGCAGATGCTTAACCAGCTGAGCCACCCAGGCGCCCTTAAAACAACTGCTTTAATACATAAAAAGATAGTTCGAAATATTGTACAAAAATTACTTCAGATTCTTGAGAATTTAATTTTCTTTAAAAACTTGGAGACCTATTGCTCAAACTTTTTGGTGTAGTAAGTTTTTCTCATATTCAGAGCAATAGGATTCTTTTAATTCTTGTTTTGCATGAAGTGTTCAGGAATTCCCTTTTATTAACACACATAAAACTTAGAATTTACCCTGTTGTATATTATTATTTATAATCATCTTTGTGGATTACATAAATAAACACTAAACCCATGGACAATATCATTTTAGGTGTAAATTTTAAATCCCAAGGGAAAAAAATGAATTAGTTTACTATAGTCATTGGTTTATTACTATAGTGCCCCATTTATTCTTCTAATTGCCCTTAGATTCCATTAAGTTATGACATAATATTAAAGTTCTATCCTAGGTGATACTCTTGTGCCATTCAAAACCTACTTTCCCAGTTCTTATTTTTATGTAAAAACCATATTTTCAAATAATACATTTTTTGGTAAAAACTTTAGCTTGACTGTTTTGCCCAGAAGCTAAAAAAATGATACACATCTTCAGAAATATGCTGATAAAAATTGCTACTAAATTTGCTTTTATATTCTGATAAGTGTGCTCAAACCCTTATTTGATGTATTAAAGACAACTTAGAACATAATTTTTTAAGAGAATGTGTTACTAAGATTTTCCCACTGAAGCATTATCTGTCAGTCATTTATTTGGTGGGGCTCAAGTTCCCCCCATTTCTCTCTCTTTGCATTACATTTCTGGTAAGAGTCTCAAATGATGGGGATCCCAGAAATACCAGTTGATTTTGTTTTCTCTGCCTCTAAATGATAGTATGTGTAGAGAGAAATTGTACAGAAACACAATTTAGACATTTATTGTTTTTTCTGAGCAAAATGGAAGAACAGGGAAATAATGGAATTAGAGCTACCTATTAATGCTTGTTTTTCTGATCCATAGAAATTTACTTGTTCCCCACATGGGCAAACTTTTTTTTAAGGGCTCATTCGTTGTAATTCCACCAGAAAAGTATTGACAGAACCCTTTTTACACGAGTAGCCTGTCAATCATCAAACTCTGGTTATTGGCTAGATCTTTTTCTAGTTTGTGATTTTTTTTTTAACCTAGATGTGGTATTTTGGGAAAAAAGTCTTTTGGGACTTAGCATAGGAAAATATTTAAAGTAGCAGTACTTACTGAGGGTCACAACTTTTGGGGGGATTCCAAGGAAGATTCCTCAGTATAATAAATGATCAGCTCATATTCCTCTTCTTGAACCACCTACAAAGAACTAGGAAAGGAGAATGGAAATGAACATTATTATTGAGTACCTAGTATATCTCAGGAACATTTTTACCATACAATTATCTTAATTTTCACAACAGTCTCATCAGGTAGTTACTACTTTTGCCATCCCATTTTACAGATGAGAAAACTGTTGCTTCGAGGTTCAACAGTTATTAAATGAGAACTGAGAATGAAACCCAAGAACATTAGACTTTAAGTCGAATGCTTTTAAATTTGAAGCATAGCTAATGAGGTGAACATATGGGTAGATTTTCGTTTTGTTCAATGTACGAAAGTACTATAAACCATGAGTTTTCTTTTTAGGAAGGTTTTACCTTTATTTGGTACTCATGTCCAAAGCTCACAAACTACTTTGGTTTTTTAACAAAGAGGAGAAAAAAAAAATATATATATACAATTTTATTTTATTTTTTTAAAGGTAAGTATTTTTTTTTTTTCAAGATTTTATTATTATTTATTTGACAGAGAGAGACCCAGCACGATAGGGAACATAAGCAGGGGGAATGGGAGAGGGAGAAGCAGGCTTTCCGAGGAGCACGGAGCCCGATGGCAGGGCTCGATCCCAGCGTCCTGGGATCATGACCTGAGCCAAAGGCAGATACCCAACGACTGAGCCACCCAGACACCCCAAAATACACAATTTTAAAGTACTAGGATTCTCTAGAGCAAGGACACCACCTCCTTGTTGACTTTACATTCTTTTCTGATTTGTTTTACAGATAGCTGCAAGTTTAGATGTATAACACAGAATTTAAAAAAAAATGTTGATGTGACAGTCAAATGTCATTCAGATGTCATTTACAGATTGCTATGAAATGATGACTCTACATGTTACCTGTGGATGTTGGTCTGTTTAAAAGAATATAAAAAAAAGTGGTTAGGGGGGCGCCTGGGTGGCTCAGTTGGTTGAGCGACTGCCTTCGGCTCAGGTCGTGGTCCTGGAGTCCCGGGATCGAGTCCCGCATCGGGCTCCCTGCTCGGCGGGGAGCCTGCTTCTCCCTCTGACCCTCCCCCCTCTCATGCTCTCTGTCTCTAATTCTCTCTCTCTCAAATAAATAAATAAAATCTTTAAAAAACAAAAAAAAAGTGGTTAGGTTCTTAAATGAAAACATAAACTCAAGTGCTATCTTATATAATGCCCAGTCTAATAATAGAAGAATCATTATATTGTTAATCATTTCAAGTTTAAATCTGTAATGCAGTTTAAACAAAGCAAATTCTTTTCCTTCTTGAAATTTTATCTTTATTATGTCTTCCTTTTTCCTTTTATATTATAGTTAGCTCAGTATCTTTATTATCAGTTTATACTAGATTTTTTTTTTTAAGATTTTCTTTATTCATGAGAGACAGAGAGAGGGAGGGAGGCAGAGGGAGAAGCAGGCTCTCCGCGGAGCAGGGAGCCCAACGTGGGACTCGATCCCACGACCCTGGGATCATGACCCAATCTGAAGGCAGATGCTCAACCGACTGAGTCAGGCACCCTATACTAGATATTTCTTGATACAAACCTAATAGAATACTTCACGCTTTAGCAACTAGACAACCTGGATCCTTTTTTAGATGGTTTTCTGTACCTGTATATACAGATAATGCCTTTGCAGGCTCTCTTGGATCTGTCATCCAGTAGTTTGATGACCTGAAACTTCTGAATTCCTCAGCAGTTAAGGAGTATAGAGTCTGTAATTATGCCATCACATACATATTTGCTTATATGTTATCTTGGATTGATTTTTTCTTGTTTGATATATGTGTGTCTTGTCTCCCTTAAGGCAGGATTATAAGCTTCCAAAGTGTAGGAACCATGTCTTATACTTTTTAAATCCATTGTAGGATTAATAATTACCTGTGGGTTAATTTTTCCTTTCTTCTAGTTTAAGGGTCAGACTATAATCCAGAATGGCAAAGCAGATGAAGAGTCGTCAGTTGTATGCTTGCTCTTTGATTTCTTAAAGGAGGGAGAATATGGAACTTGCAGAGAAAATGAAAAGTTAAAAGGTGCTTAGAGGGTCATTTGACAAAGAGATGGACTTTTCAAGTGTTTTGAAATTACTAAATTTCAAACTAAATTACTAAAATAATGGAGAATGCAACAATTTTAGAAATGCATAAAACAACTTTGAGGATTATAGTTATTAAAATTATTTTTTAATTTAAATATGTGATTTTCTGGTATGTTTTAATATTAGGACTCGCTGATTCTTGAGAAGAGTCAAAGCTGGAGTTCTCAAAAAATGGACCACATTCTGATTTGCTGTGTTTGTCTTGGAGATAATAGCGAGGATGCTGATGAAATAATTCAGTGTGACAATTGTGGCATTACAGTCCATGAAGGTAATTTTGCTTTGTTTTGTCTCCTTTTTGAAACAGCTAATTGACACTGAATATAAATAAGTAAAATCAGCTCTTTTACATTTGTACTGTTGTAAAGTTTTTCTATAGTATTTCATGGTTTTTCAGTTGAAGTAGGACATATTGAATCCTCAAAGTATCCTGGGTGTTATTTTTCGGGTTATGTTAATTTAAAATGTGTTTTAAATAACTGAAATAGAAATACTATATGGAAATCACAGTATTTCTTTGAAAATCAGTGTTATGATAGTTTCCTTCATGGCATTTGTTTCAAATGAAATTTAGATACAGGGAAAAGTCTAGTATGTTAGCCTGGTAGATAATGTATTTAAAAAATTACATTCTGAATCTAGTGATACATAGTTTTTTCTTTTGTGGATATAATTTTTAATTTTAAACTTGAGTATTTAGAGAGATTATCTTTTAAAATCTGAAATAGAAGCTAATATATTGAAAATACTTTTCCCAATTATTTTTGAACCTCTTTTGTTAGGTTTTTTGCTTGTTTTTTCACTTAAAAATTTTTTTTATTTTGACATAATTTCTGACTTACAGAAAACTTTTTTAAGAGTACTACAAAGAATTCCCATATACTCTTCGCTCAGATTTCCCAAATGGTAACGTTTTGCTGTTTTATTTTCTCTGATACAACAATTTTGTTTTCAACTCTTATGAGAATAAACTGTAGACATAACGTCCCCTTCTACCACTAAATACCTCAGTGTGTATTTCTTAACAAGGGCATTTTCTTACATAACCATATAATTATCAAAGTCAGGAACTTAGCGTTGTTTGAATTCAGCTATCTAATCTACTAACTCTGTTCACATTTTGCCAATTATCCCTATAATGTCCACTCTAGCAAAATAAAATCCAGGTTTATGCATTACATACAGTCATTATGTCTATTTGGTCACCTTTAATCTAGAATATTTCTTGAGTCCTTGTGTTTCATGCTGTTGGCATTTTTGAAGAATACAGGCCAGTTCATTTATAGAATGTCCTTAATACTAGTTTTTTCTTTTCTCATGGTTAGATTCAGGTGACATGCTTTTGGCAGAAATGCCACAGAAGTTATGTTGTGTTTTCAGTGTATCCTATTAAGAAGCACATAGTACTTACTTTTCCCTTTACTGGTGATGTTACTTATCACTTGGTCGAGAGGGTATCTTTCAGGTTTCTCTCTGGTAAAGTTATTATTTCTTCCTCTCAGTTAATTTTTTCCTGCAGGGCCACGATCACCGCAGAACAGTTTTTCTGTGGCCTTGTCCTTACCGCTCTTTTGGTGTTACAGCCCTTCTTCCAAATAGTTCTGGGAGTCTGCTGGGCTTAGGAGCCTGCAGAGCCTGTGCTGCTTCAGCCAGCACCCTCTTGCCCTCGTATAAAGCTGCACTTCTTGCTGCTAAGGCTCACTATAGAAATGTCGCCTGTTCATCCTACTCATTCACTTATTTTTTTCAGTCATGTTTGTTGAGTACCTTCTATGTGCTAGGCATTCTGAAGATTTTAGGCAAGTAAAATAAACTATAGAAATTGCTGACCTCATGGAGCTTAATATCTAGTAAGACAGGCAATGAAAAAATAAAACAATAAATAAATATATATCAGGTCATAGTCTGAACTATGAAGAAAAATAGGGCAGGATAAGCAGTATGGGAGATGCTGTGGGTTGGGGTGGGGAGGTTGAGTGGGCAGGTGGAAGTTTGTATTTATAAAAGATGAAAAGGAAAATCCTCTTTAATGTGATATTTGAGCAGTGACCTGAAGGATGTTAAGAAGCAAGTCATGCAACTCTTTGGGGAAAGAGCACCCTAGGAGTAAGGAGTACCAAGTGTAAAGATCTTGAAATGGGAACACAGTTGGAGTGTTTATATCATGGCAGGAACTAAGTGAGCAAGCTGGTGAGTGGTGGGGGTAGAGATGGGAGCAAACCAGGTAAGGCCTTGCAGGTCATAGATTTTAGATTTCACTGTAATGGATGAATTTTGGGCAGAGGCTTAATATGATTTGATTTATGTTTGGGAAGGATCACTCTGCTGGGTTGGGAGTGGACTGAAGTGGGTCTAAGTTGGGAATCGGAAAGCATTTCGGAGACCATTGCAATGATGTAAGAGAGGAAAAGGTTTTGAGGTAGATAGTAAAAGTTTGGTTTTAAATGGTCTGGAGTTTAGTAATGTTGGGACTAGAGATAAAAATTTGGGACTCATCAGCCTGTAGATGTTATTTAAAGCTGTGAAACTGGATATGCTATCTGGGGAGTAGTAAGGTGGTTCTAGCATTTCAGAGGAGATGGAAATCACATGGCCAATGGGATAGGAGGAGAACTAGGAGTAATGACCCAGAGGCTAAGTAAGGAAAATGTTTCAAACAGAGAAAGTGAGTAACTGTCAAATTCTGTTTCTAGAGTCAGATAAAGACCTATGTCATGTGGCAAATTATCCTAATGCAGTGGTAGACTCCTGAGTATACTACCAGGCAAGCCATCCCAAAGGTTGTAGGAGAAAAGGTTCATGGACAAAATGCTTATATTACATGGTTTATTAAATAAGAGTAAAATACATGGAGAAAAGCAAGGGGAAAAATACGAGATTAGTTAACATGCTTATGATAGAGTACAAGTTGGTGGAATGATCACCTGAATCCTGGGGTACACGGAGTTTGTATTGTATGTCCTGCCTCTCTCTGCCTTTTCAGCCTTCCCTGCTGAAGGTATGGTTATGAGGACCAGAGCCCACATAGGCAGTACCCGGGGCCAAACACACACTCTCTTGGACAGATCCAGAGATAAGTATGCCTGGTTACAGCTTTAGTTCTCCACTTAACCTACAGAATAGCCATGGGTTTTGTGTTTCTTAGGCTGTGGACACATGGAGCCAGAATAGGTGTAACTGATGGGTGGCCATACTGAGGCCTCATGATCAGAGAGAGAAAGAGATAGAAGCAGTCATATGAGAGAGCTAGTGTCTTTTGTAACCTAATTTGGAAATATACACTGTAATTTCTGCATATTGTTCACACAGACCAATCCTACTTAAATTTAAATGTAGGAGGGCACATTCTAAAATTGTTAATGCGAAGGGCACTGATCATTGGGGGCCATCTTAGAAGCTGCCTATCACAGATGCAGAGATTATATAGCATGTTAGTATACTATACTAACAGGGAAGTGACCAGTGGAAAGGGAGAGTTGACAATTGAGATAAGGAGAGAAAAGGAAGCAGTTGCTGGAGCAAGGGCTTTGAGTACAAGGCTAGAGGGGATGGGATCCAGCACCAAGTGAAGAGATTGAGTAAATATGAGTAGCCATAGTAACCAGAGGGAAAAGGATATATACAGATGTAGGTAGGTTGTTAGATGTGGTGGTCAGAGCATGTGCAACTTAGTTTTGAATGCTTCTGTTGTCTCGGTGAAATGGGAAGCAAAGTCATTAGCAGAGAGTGGAGGTGGGGGAGATGTTGGGAGATTGGGGAAGAGAGGTTGGTATAAAATAGTTATTTGGGAGAATGAAGTGGACTAGGGAAATATTGGCATAATATTGTATGTGTGTATACATATATATATATTTTATTGACAGCTATAAAGGACCACTTGTGATTAGTGGTAATGAATTAAACAGACCAGTCAACATGGTTGTGTGTATGTCTGTTTTTTTTTGTTTTTTGTTTTCGCCCCGCATGGTTCAAATTCCTTGGAGCAGGTGCAGAATAGGTAAACATCAAAAGCAGCTGCTGTGCTGCTGATGTGTAGCTAATATGTGGAATAAATAAATAAGGAAAACTAGGTGGGGAAACTGAACAGTTTTCTACATCTTTAGGAGAATCTTTATGTTGTGGTATAATTTCTTTGTTGGTAGTGTTGGGAATTCTGTGAACTTCAGATAAATTGAAAGTGCAAAGTATAAATCAAAAGTAAAACATAAATCTTGAGAGTTTTTTAAAAAAATTATGTTACAACTTTTTCCCTCTAGTATAATTTCCCATTTCCTTTGTTAATCTTGGAGTTTCTGATGTGTAATTGTGATTATATAATTTTCTTTTTTTTTTTTTTCCCCCGTGGTTTCTTAGTAGAGTTAGAGCTAATAGCTTGAAAAATTCCTAGTTCTGGTGATTTTTAATTATCTGTTTTGCTTTAGGGGAGAACTGTTAGTTATTTTTTTAAAAGATTTTATTTATTTACTTGAGAGCACAAGCCACTGTGTGTTTATGTGTACTAGTTGGGGGGAGGGGCAAAAGGAGAGGGAGAAGCGGACTCTGCTGAGCAGGGAGCCTAATTCAAGCCTCCATCCCAGGGCCCTGGGATCATGACCTGAGCTGAAGGCAGACGCTTAACAGACTGAGCCACCCAGGTGCCCCAAGGGCAAAAGTGTTATTAAAGATTAATGTATTTCTCATAAATACATTACATAAATACATTTTTCCTTTTAACTTAATTTCCTGTAGGTTTTTTTTATCTGACTAGTCTAAAAGATTCCTTTACCAAATATCACTGAGTACTATGTTTGAGAAGGGGTTGTTTTGATGAGATATACTCCTGACTCTCCATTTAAGTGTTTTTGGGTAATACTTAGGTAGTTTCAGAAAGAAGGTATATTGATTAATAGATCTGTGAAGAATTTTTCATCTTCCATTGGCTTTATATCAGTTGAGTCTACTAATAGAAAAATAAAAATAAAAACAAAAACAAAAAACCCTGCTTAATATTCATTGGTTAGATGGTGGATTTTCTCTTCTGGTTAAGTGTAATGATGGTAATTCTTAGTATAATAATGTGTAGCATGATCAGTATATAATTTTCTAGTCCCTTTTTGGGTCATCACACTGTTGCCAGCCTGTGTTAATTAAAGCCTGGGTTGAAAAAATAAACAGTGACATGTGATTTGGTCCAAATAATTTAGATTTTTTGTTTTTTAGTCTCTTTCTAGGTGTACCATGTTCGTAGTCCTTTTTAATTTTTGGTTTTGTTTTTCTCTAAAATGGGGTCAG